TATATCACTTCTAACTATGCCCTATCTAACCACCACATTCCAGACCGAAAAGTTCTCTCACACTTCGAGGGATTCCCCCTTAAGATTTTGAATGATTGTTTCAATTAGAAATAAATTATGCTAATTCTTAGAAAAACAAGTTAAGAACCCTCTCAAAAAAGTCAACTGTGGTCAAATTTGTTGATGTTGTGATTTCTATCTCGGCAGATAGAGTAAAGTGTCTATTTTCGAATGCACTATAGTTTATTGATTTTATGATAGGATTTAAGAATATAACATCGCTTTTTCTCAATCTTCCACAAAAGAAAACGACGTTTTTTTCTCAAAATAGGCTTTTTGATTTTTACGTTTATGTGTATTCCAGATTTCTCCACCATTTTAAACGTTAGAAAGGTGGACTTGATACCAAAATGCAGACAAAAATTAGCTCTACAACTTAACAGAGTCGGATTTTTCGATTTCCTCATTAATCTTTATAAAAAGAACTAACTGATATGGATCTGCACTCCTTAGGTTTTTCATATTTCATTGGAGAAATTTTCTAAAAATATAACCTAAAAGAATATCGAAAAATTGGGTTCTATTAAGTTGTAACGCCACATCTTGGTTACATTTTAAAATCAACCTAAACTTTCTAGCATTTGAAACGGCGGAGAAATTTAGAACGCAACGAAAACTAAATTTTGACTGATAAGCTTAAGCTAACTCTTCGTAGACTCAATCTATTGAGGTGAAATTTTTACTGTGAGGTGTCTACCTCGAGAGTACAACTTCATTGAAAATTTCATCAAAATTAGATGATCGAAAAAAAGAAAAATGTGATTTTTGAGAGAAGTCCTCTTAATGACAAAAAATCTTCTAAAGGTCTGAAGTGAAAAATATCGATGAAACAATCAAGACAATGTCATAGAATAACAGTGATAGAACACCGAAAAACTGATTCATGTTTAACAAAGGAAAATAATGTTATATTTAAATAACTATATTTTCTTGTTCATAGTAAATGATAATGCATAAAGAATAACACGTACTATTTCCATTGTGTGATGAAAAATTTTAATTAAAAGTTTCTGTTTGAAATTCTTAATAATTCGATTCAAAAATTTTATAAAAGAAAAAAAAGAAGCATTTCTATCAATCATCATAATAGAATAGTATGCAACAAAGTCAAATACATAAAAGTGATATCTCGAATGTGTGTGAAGGACATGTAATTATTACTTCTTGACATTTCATATTTTAATTACATATGTGAACTTAACTCAACAAAATAAACACGAGAAATAAAAATCCATTAAAAATGATTGTTAGTGTTTGCAACGTAATAATTTTATCTTTTTATTATTCTACAACGAAAATATTATGTCAAAGGTAAAAAAGTAAAAAGTAATTTGTTTTTCTTATCTATAGAGTGTGTACACTACTGTGTTTACCTTTTAAAATAAACATTTTCTATTCTCAAATTATACTGTATAATCTCTAAAAAAAACATCATTGTGCTCATGATTAGTTTTTGACTCGAAGAATTAATGTTGTTTTTTTGTTATGTACATTTCTCAACTATAAATACGAGCTGCACAATGTAGCAAACCATGAGATTTATTTAAAGTAATAATATAACACACCCACACCCTTTCGATATTACATTAACATAAACTTAAACAACAAATAAATAATAATTATGTCAGCATCAACATCATCCGATTGAAATCAAGAATCACCAGGTAATCTATTAGATGCATCTGGAGTCGAAGTTCAACAAAAACTTGGACAACAAGGATCATCAGATTCTTCAACACATCAATTGGGTGAAGGTGATAGTAGACAACAACAACAACAACATAAACTTGGTCAAAATGATAGTGAACAACACCAGCATAAATCATAAATTCTTACAGTAAAATGACTTAAATACACGAGAATTGACACTTATGTACGTATTTTCTTTTTCTGTTTATTTAATTTTTTTCATATCTTAATAAATACATATATTCAAATAAAATAATTCTATTACAAATGATTTCTTTCAGATAAAAGAATGATAATAATTCATCATGACATGGGCATCTGGTACCGTTGTTAAAAAAAAGACCAATTAATTAAGGTCTAACATAAAAACAAGTTTTAAAGTTCTTCCGAATAAAATTTAAATTTTTTTCATATAGTCTTGTTGAATGAAGTTAATATAGAACGATTATTTTATATAATCACATATTATCTAAGAACGAACTCAATGTATTATAGTTATCTGATAGTCCAAACGATCATCATTTACAGACTATATTTTTTATATCTTTTCAAAATGATAAACAAGAAAAAAACACAGCAATCGAATATTTTAGATTTTACAGTCTTCATTATTATTGCTTTTCTTTTTAATTCTAACAAATGAATAAATGATAGCAAAGCAAGATATCGAGATATTGAATATAAAAATTACTAATAAAGCAGATTTTCAGAGAACGAATAATAAAATAACAATATAATGGTTCACAAGCTACAATAGAGTACTAGTAGAATTAACTATGTTCATAAGAATTTGATACAGTTTGGAAACTTGTTTGTTCATCATATTCTCTTTCATAATCGAACATAGTCTTGTAGTTCTCTCTTTTTCTCTCAAGGCTAATCAATTGAGAGAAAGTTGATCCTACCTATCTAACTATATGGATTAACAACAACTGTCTACTAGAGTGAAGTGCGTATGATTTGTTCTCAGATATCTGATCTGTTATTGTGCTAGTAATTAAACTATTTCATTTTATTTGGTTTGACGTTTACGAATTTAATAAACTCAACTGCATGCAAATAATAAATTAGTTGAAGTGATACCTTTGAAAATAACTACACTGAAATTAATTATTTAACCTAGCAAAAATCGATTAGTCAATAGAACAATAATTTGACAATAAATTAGTGAACAAATGAAATTTTTATCTCACGAATATTATGTCTAATTAGATAAGCCAATATTTTGACACAACTACAAATAGAATTCAATAGAGAAATATACTTCTTGAGCATTTTTTATCAAAACTTTTTTTCTATCATTAAAACAAAAATAGAAAAAATGATGAACATTACAAACAATGTCGACACTACTCATTAATAAAAAACGATATTCGTCTCTTATCTATGATAATATAAATCCGGTGGAGTATACATACTTAAAATCTATATATGATTACTTTAAAAATTTTTGTTGAAGATCTAATGCTATTTTATATAAGAACTATGTGTTCTTTTGTGACATTTATCCTGTAAGAGTGTAAAAACCAATAATTGGAAAGAGATAGAAGATATAATTTGATATAAAATAGCGGTATCCATAGGTATCTTCCTCTCATATCAATGCTATACGATTAGTTAATGTAAACGATGAATGATTTTATCTCGTCTACTTGTAAGAATGTACTAGTTCAGACCTTTTGGATCACTCATCTATATCAATATAATCGGTGTTCTGCTTTCAGGATAGAAATAAATCAAAAGAGTTTCAAACTTTCATAACTAACTATTATCATTATGGTTTTTTGTTTCTGTACAAAGTTTCAAATCGAAATTTGAAAATAATTTATTCTGGTGTTTCTAAGAATAAACACCATATTCTCGTGAAACAACAGAATAGTTTAAGCTTTGTTGTTAATATTGTTAGGCGTCTTTTTTTGTTGCGAACGACCTATAGGAAAAGAATCTGGTGTTTGTTGTCCTCAATCACTAGGAGAAACGTACACATTTACCTCTAAACACTTTTTTCTAGTTGCTAAAGCCTAAACTAAAGAGGGAAGGGACAACCAAAAAATTTCCACTCACTATTCTCTTTCGAAAAATAGATGTGAGTTCCACAAAATGTAGTATCTCAGTACCGATAAGTTAAGAGTTCGAACTCTTTTGATAATATTCATCATTGATAAGGGTTGTATGTCTACAATCTTATTTTAAATTTGTTCACCTGAAATGATATGATTGTATTCTAGTATCTTTGAGCTCTTCAACTTTGTTTTCTCAATGTAAAATGTTTGTCTCTTTTTCTTGTTTCAGCAAAATGTCCAATATATAGCAACAATCAAATCTAATTGATTAGTAGATTTACATCACACAAATTTCTGTTAATATGAAGATATTAAATGCGAATAATGATAAATGTTTTTTTTTTCTAATTATGGATTCTTCTCGAGAAGAATGGTCTACACTATCGTTATTTTTGATTTTAATTAATTGAATAATCATCATTTTATCGAGCCATTAGAAATTCTAAATAATCAAGATGATCTTCTAAAAATTATCAATTATATAACACTTTAAATTTCTGAATTTCCTATGCTCCTTTTTTGTTCTGTATTAATTGAGTATTATATGTTCTTCAATTTAAAACTAATTTATTCATTCAAATGATCAAATCGAAACAATTCATTAAAAAATCATATAATTTTATTGTTTCATAATGAATTAACCAAGAAGAAGAATTAAACATTTAGACTTCCAGATAATATGTCAAATCCAGATTTTGCTACAGCTTTAGTGCATTTGTTGGTACATCCACAAGCTGGTCTACAGCATTTTTCATCAGCAGCGCATTGGCTATCTCTTGTGCAACCACTGATTTGTCTTGCATCCATTAAATTAATTTGATTAGGTGGACAATAAATGGCGCACATCATCATATGCATTGGACAATAGCCTATACGGGAAATAAGTTTTTATTTTCCATTCAAATATTCGTGAACTTACCAGCATGAGCCCGTTGAAGGTCTCGTTTTCTTAGTGCTTCAGCACTAAAACATGAGAACACTACGAGTAAGAGTATTGCAAGAAAACGCATTGTTTAAGTGATGTTATTAGCAGTAGATATCTGAATAATAGTAGCACCGATAATTTATAACCATATCAAATACACATTCACATCTGGCTTTTTTTCTCTTTGCGTTGTCCTTAATCGGAAAAAAAATAGCTTAACTCAAGTTAACTTGTTTTTTTGATTTTTTGATAGATAAAAATCAAGATAAAATATGGTTATATACTCTTTTATTTTAGTTTTAATACATAAAGTAAGGTATGAGTGTGGGTGAAAACTTTCTCATCACACAAAATCCACACCCTCAAAATATTACATGAGCAAAACAACTATTAGAATTTGAAACGAAAACAATGCAAGCACTCAGTCAATCACCTAATCTTTCGCAGCGTTTGAAAAAAGACAAAGACAGATAAGTAGTCGATTTTCCAGTTACAAACGCGATTGATTTTAAAAAACGAATCTTAATTTTGTTAACTGCTGAAGGAAAACTTATGCTCAACAAATCGTGTAACGAATAAGGCATAGTTTTTCACAAATTTCTTTCAATCAGAAACGCACAATAAGTCAAAATTGTGGACTTTAAAATGAAAAAGAAAAGAACACGTCACTCAGGCAATTGCACAACATTTAAAAACTAATGTATGTAAACGCAGAAAAAAAATAATCGGTTTTTTTGCATCTAATTGGAGATCTCATCTACAACGCGAATAAGAAAGAACTTTCAAAAATAATCAATTTCCACTTTATTTTATCGTTTTGTTTTTTTCTAGTTAACAAATAAAGAAGCTATTCAAACATTTGCATCAATGCTTAAATAATTCACTTTAGATACATTTTCACACGTGTTGCTTAGGTCAAAGAAGTCTTCTGACTTATTGTATTCGCGCATAGGGGCGATACTTTAGCTTTATTTTAACGAGTAAAGTAAAGAAAATATTTGTAGTACACATTTTGGTCACTTTCTTAGTTCACCATTGTACATTGATAAGAGTAGAATATATGACAATTTTTTTCAATATTATTTCATCATAAAACAAGTGAATACAAAGTAAAGTTAAACTGAAAAATGTCAATTCTTTATCAGTATATGAAATATGTTGTTTATCTACTTTACTTCATTTTATTTTTCATATTTAAAATGCAGGTTTTTTATTGTATTATATGTCTCACCGACGCGTTAGTTTTGATGGTCGGTCTACTATTGGTTTTGAATATGGTAGTTGTAGTTATTCAACTGCAAAACTCTTCCGTTTTTATCAAGAGTTGATTGATATATACAATTTAAAAACGATATAAAAAATCTGTTCAAAACTCAATGATATTAAACTTTTCCGTAGGAACAACTTCGTAGAAAGACGAATAGATTAAATGAAAACATTCCATTTTATTTTAACTTGAAAAACTTTTTAATAATAAATCTATGAATTCTCACAGGACTTTTATCTGTATTACTGTAGAAAGAAAAGCAAATCTTAGAAATTATTGAAATTCAAAAATTTTCACACTTGAATTTTCTATAATCCTAAGTAATTATTCAATAATATATTTAAATTTGATTCCACAATGTACCAATGTTTTTTCAACTTGTCACGAATCATACGCTTGAAAAAAATGTTTTCTTAAAGTCGTACTTCTCTGTGTCATACAGTAAAGAAAATATATTGCCAAGCAATGATCGATGTCGAAAAACGGATGGAATCAAAGTCAACAGACTCAATTCTAAAATCGGTTGTCGAAAGTCTAGATGAGGCCTTCTCTTCATTCACATCCTCCAATCAAATTTCGTTTCGTCAAGCTCCTATTGACTCACTAATAACATTCGTATATGCTCTTTGTTCGTCAATCGACTCTCCAAGGCTCTGAATGAAACGATTTCATTTAGATCCACAAAGAAAAGCTATTTGAGAGTATGGATATGAGTGAAGGTAGGTAGATGAGAGCCTATGAAAAGAAGACTTTCAGCTCGCATCCACTGATCTATACTTGCAAAAAAGAATCATCAAAACAATGATAATATATTTAATCGTAGTTTGTTTTCAAAGATTTTTTTGTCGAATAAAACATCAACACGCCATTGTTTAGCAAGTTGTTCAGATAATTTATAATAAAAATAACATCAATTTCATGTTTACCAGCGTATCTAGTAGATATTATCTATTGATGCGTGAGACCATGTGTCAGCGTCTGATGGGAAGACATTGAATAATTGCAAGTAATCTTAATTGTACATTATTCGATACGTTCGTGTTTTTCTTGTGCAACAAGGTCAATTTAGAATACATAGATGTCTCAAAGAATTCGTAAGCAACGTTGATTTCGTTTTTACTGAGAAATCGAAACAATACTTGAAGTCAATAGACATTAACTGGTTGTCTCCATGTCTGAACGATAACATCAATCACCGATTAAACGTAGAGTGTAGGTCTGTAGTTGATCCGTGCTCACATTCAGATCCTTCGACATCTACATTCTCACATGTTCATGATAACCATCATATTAAAAATGAAGTTAATGAAAGATAAATCAATATATTCATATAAAATTTCATCATATGTATATGTTGATATAGACAACTTTAGAAAATTTCTTCAACGATAGTTCAAACGAGAAAGAGTCTCGACGCGTTAGATAGTTATTCAAGGAAAATCTCCAAGATTTGTTTACAATGTGAGACATGTTTTAGAGTAATTTCAAAAGATTTTAACTCATTTTCTCATCAGAGAAATTAAATAATAAAGACTTCTGCAATTCAATCATTTCAGCATCTAATATAAATGTTGAAGATTAAAAAAAAAAAATTATTTAATGAAAGAGCTATGATCAAAAACATAGCGACGAAAAATTCCAAGAAAGAGTTCATTTCCAATTTATTTATATAAAATCTACATGTATTGTACATGAAAAAGTTGAAGAAAAAATTATTTAATATTTCGATAATGTGTTCGTTGTTTAATTGATAGATGTTCAATTGCATAACTAAGCATAATACGTGGCATTTGTGCAGCATGTTGATCGAGAAATGAAGTAAGTACTTTTTGACTAATTCTTTTTCCTGTTTCACGTAACATCCATCCAACAGCTTTGTGCATAAGAGGTTCAGAATCATTTAAAAGTTTTTTAGCAAGTTCAAATGTTGTTGATCCATCTTTTCGTTTAATAAAAGCAAATGTAGCAATCATAGCTGCTCGTCTTTCCCATAATTGATTACTTGAAGCTAAATCAAAAAGTAATTGACGTGGTCGATCTTCAAGATAACCACCTAATAAATGTTCAGCTGATGCATCTACTAAATCCCAATTGTTTACTCGACCTCTTTTAAGTGCATTTATATAGAAGGTCGAAAGTTCACTACGAAGATTATCATCACGTGGTGATGTTTTACTAGCAGCTAAAAAACGATAGACTAGAATAAAGATAGCAGCTTGACGATGTTCATGAATTGAACTGTTTAATAGACGATCAATTTCGACAAGAGGAAGAGTAATATACCGTTTAGCCACAATTCGATTATCAGGTACACGAACACCAATAAATACATCACCTTCACCATATTCACCTTCACCGGTCTTGAAAAAACGTTGATATGTAGAAATATTTTTTGGATTAGCTTGTTCAGCAAGAGCAACTTCTACTGATTCGGCTGTTTCGTTATTCATCTGAAAAAAATTTTGTAAAATAAGACAAATATTTCTATAATCATTCGTCGACGAAAACATACATTTCGTGTATGTATCAATTTTTGAAGAGTTAATATGCGCCCTTGTCGAATCAACTTTCGATTAAAATATTTCAACAAACTATGAAATTGATACATAAAACTTTTGTTTTTTATTATACAGAAGATTTTTCTACAAAAAAAGAATTGAAAATTTTATTTCATTGTCCAATCTTTGATAAAAATAAAAATACTTTGTCGTTCGAAGCATATTTGAGAATAGTGCAAAGAAATAAAATGAAAAAATTCATCTAATTAATATTAAAGTTAGAAGAAACATGTTGTTAGAAAACTTTAAGAATATTCAAATGTCGAATCATAGTTAGAAAAGTGATCGTTTGAAGCAGAAGATTACGAATGCTCTAAATTTTTGTTTTTACTTTTCTATATTTATATCAGTGTATTGCACAACACGAAAGTAACAAGTTATACACTGATATGAATGATATTTTGAAATCTAATCAAAGAAAATAAGAAAAACTTGCACCTAAAATAAGCAAAAATTTTGTTTCAAATCTTGAATTAAATAAAATCTATTGAAAACTAACTCAAAAAATTATAATTGTGTTAATAGAATCATATCTTGGAATCATTATTAAATCACTTCAGATGAATCATGATTAGATATATATATATAAAACAATTTCTTCACGCATTCGTTGTTGCTTCAACCAACGTCAATTTTTTTTAAATTGAACTTTTAAAAGCAGAATTAAGAATTTTTTCGACCTTGATTAGTTTTTATAGATTATATTCTTAAAGAATATGTCTATCAACTAAAGTTAAAGTAATCTAATGTATACCTTAGAAATCTAGATGGCGTCAGATACAGTCTATTATACATCCACTCATTATATATTAAATTCTTGAATGCATAATCTTTCTCTTCTATCATCTAGTAGTAAATTAAATGTTTTGTTCGCTTCAAAAATGACTTGTTCACAATATCATCAAATTCTATGTCTTTTATCACTGTTTGTGATAATGATAGTATGTGTCCTTATACAATTGAATATCCTGTAACTTCATCAATATGGCACTTTCTGTATCCTTCGAATTTTTCTAATTAATAGATCAAACACAACAACAAGCAAACTATTATCTATATTGCTCAAAATACTTTTCAATCATTTTCACTTAAGGCTATACTTAGTTTTTTCATGTAACGATCCACAACACATTCGAATGGGAACAGTTAATGACAGAATAAATTGTTGAAACCTTCGTAAAAATCGTTTTATTCTGTTTTATTCAACGTTACCAACCGAAATGGATTGGTGTTCAGGAGTCTTTACCTTATTAAATTACTAATATATATATATGTTAGATTTTTCTTGTTTGATTAGTATGGTGTCAATCGTAATGATGGTAAAGACAAATGTGAATTGGTCGGTATATTTTATCATCTCTCTCTGTCTTTTTGAATCACATGCAATAAAGGGAGAGTCTGGCTTTTAGAAACAACCAATAAAAAAATATAATATTTCAATATATATCTAGATCATGTTAGTTAGCTTATTTATAGAATGTTTCTAGTTTTTGGTTGTGAAAATAGCATATTGTTATATAAAGGTAACGATATTGTATGATTATCAACTTAAGTAGATTAATGAGTTAAAGAAAAAATGTAATAAATCGTGTATATTTAATATATTTGAAAATTGCTTTCAACTATCTAACTATTGAATAAGTATGCTAGCACCAAATCTTCCCAAAGATCTATATAGATGTTTAGATTGAATTGAATAGTTAAATAGTTAAAAGTGAATTTTAATAATTAAAATCAAAGTTGATTTCTATATTTACCGGAGTGATTTGGTATACTATCAAACATTTCGTTAAATATAATTTATTCATTTAAAAATATTTTATATTGAAAATAAAAATGTGAATATTTTCGAACTTAGTAAATTCTTCTAATTAAAAGAGATACTATTAAATGATCATACATATTCATTTTCAGGCACATTACAAGAATGCAGTAGTCTTCCAATCTAATTATTTTTTTTCTGATATCATCATTGTCTAATGATAAGTACATCATTGAAGTCTTTTAATTAGCTCTTTGAAGAATGGATGAAAGATTATCAATCTTTCCTTTTTTATCTATTATTAAATAAACATTTGAAAATCATTAATCAATGAATACATATGGTCATATAAGAAAGATAAAAGAATTTGAAACTTAATTATAATATCTCATTTTTAAGAAGACACAATTTGTTTCTACTGACATTATATAAAATTTTGTATACACACAAGTGAACACGAGGATAGATTCTACATTTTATATCATTAAAAATATAAATATGTTTTTATTTTAGATTTTAATCAATAATTTGTTCGTGAAAAACTAATGTTATTTTTTTAATAATCGTATAAAAGATATATCTCTTCTGTTGATTCTTTATGTTTTCTATTATTCTTTTGTTAACCAATTAATTATTAATTTTGCACATATCAAGTTGCAACATGTCAGAAAAATAGTATAGAACGATAGTTATTATAATACGATAGAAAATCTAAAATAGTTTTTCTTGTGACATATTTATGCATTCTTTCGTTTTATGTCCTATTCTATATTCACAATATAGATGGCTTCAACATTACTGATTCTTTTATTAATAATATACCTCTTATTAAATTGGTTTTAGCTGTTGCTCTTCTTTCTCCCTTTCTTATTTTTTGCCAAACGAACATTATTATTGTGTGTCGTTTATGAATTGTTTCGTAGTATCCTTCACAATCGATGTATTGATTTTTCCTGAAATGCCGACATTCATTTTGCTCATAAAATGAATAATCACTGATGAATAATATCCTTTGAGCTTTCTTATTATATAGATTTCACATATTGTGTCTATGACAGAACAGAGTTTAGCAATGATTTTTATTAATCCCAGAATTGAAAAACATTTTTTAGAAAAAGTGACCACGAAATCTCATGATACTCATCTATAAACTGTTAATAGAGTCAATGTTACGAACCAATAGGTTAACTACTAGCGATCACAAAGCTGCAATATAATTTCTGTTTAATAAAGTAGATCAATATCATATTCATAGTTGATGAGTTTTTTTTTGTTTATCCATAGATTTATTTTTAATTTCGTATATCCATTATAAAATATCGGATTATTGTTTACTTTTAATCTGTCTATTATTATGGACTGTATAGAGACATAGAAACAACTAATAATAATTCTCAGAATAATTAAAAATAAACATAACTTATCACGTGCATTTTGAATTACGTATGAGAACATAGTTTAAGAGCATATGAAAAGATCGATATGTTAAAATGATTCGATATTTGAAATGCGTGCAGACATGTATGTTTATTCAAAGGTATTTTAATGTATGTGACTATATGCAACAACAATGTTTACATGTAGTTCAACTCTGTTTTTAATATATATATCAATAGATATGTTATACAATACATATGAATTGTTATAAGAATAAAATGTTTATTTCTATTTGTAAGAAAAATATTCTGTTGTTTTGTATTACAATATATTACTTTTGAGTTAAATTACAATAGTTTCGCCTCCTCTTCTTATCTCTAGGAATGTTTTTTTATTCTATACGTTGCCTCTTCACTCGCATGTTTTGTTTTTTTTTTACTCTTTTTTTCAGGTCTTCTTATCGACTGTATGAAAATGCTATTCCTCTTTATCAGTTTTTTTTCTTTATATTTCTATCAGTTATCTAATGATTCGACTATATTTCTATAATATAGAATAGGAATACGAAACCATCCAATGATAGAGAATTCAAACTAACAGTAACTATCTCTTTCCTATAGATATATCGAAAGTTGTAGAGAATTACTGAGTAATATCAGATTTCTTGTTCACTCTCAATCAATCTGTATATTATCATATCGAAAAGCGTTATCTCACTTGATTAGATTGATAAAACTAAATCACTTTTATATTTGAATAAGTAATTAATCCAAAAGGAAAATTAAAGAAAGTAAAATAAATGATACTTGTTGTGATTTGTTAATGATTAATGTGACACTGCTAGTGACATTTTAATTATGCTTTCATTATTGGTTAGTTCTTTAAAAAGTTTTAAGAATATGATTAAATCTGATTGATGATCTTTATTTTACTGTAAATCTAGTAATATCTTTCTTAAAAAACATCACTTCAATCAATAACTAAATCGGTTTATAATAGCAAAAATAGATCTACATAGAAATAACGACTGAAAGTAGAGATATTCGAGAATAAGGCTCTTTTTATTTTCAATCTTACAAAAAAACATTTCATCATCTTTTCCTACGAAATCTCGAATATTTCTAAATCCTCTTTTTTCAATTGATTCAGTCGAAGAATATAAAACTTGTTTTTCTCTGAGAAATTTTCTTTCGCTTGACATAAAATATACGTTGTTCTCACTTCGAAATCATTATCTGTCAAGGTAAAATCTTTGTTTCATTCAATTCTATTACTAAGACATATGACAATAATAATAGAATGACAAAAAAAGCCGTAAACTTTCTACTTGTAGAGAACATAATTCATCTATGGATAAGAATCATTTACGTGGAATTATATTAAAACTTCAGGATTGTTTAAGTGATAATGATCGACAACGTTTACATTTTTTTCTCGGAGATACTGTACCACGACAAATTAGAGATGATCAAACACTAAATGGTACTCTTAGATTGATGGAATCACTTTTTGATCAAGATAAAATCAATGAACGAGATGTTACATTTTTAATCAATACCTTTAATGCAATTCAATGTAATGATGCTGTCAAAATTCTCAATGGTATAATTTTTTTATTTGATTAATATCCTAATAAATTTCGTTGATTTAGAACATATGAAACGGATGCAATCAAATTGGTTACATAAATCAACACAAAGTATATCACCAATGATTCCATCATTCATTGATCAAGTTATTATGGATCAAGAAGATAAAAATTCTACTCAAACTTGTGAGTAGAATATATTATTATTCTTTTTAATTTATTTATATTTCACTAATAAATATAGTTTTTCACAATCAGAAAAAAAAAAATTCCAGTCAAAATCATAAAATAATTAATAGTAATAATACAAATATTAATCCATTGACAATAACTATTGATAATAAAAAAATCTTATCTTCATCATCGA